TATCCGATATTGACCTCGCGATTCTATAAATATAATCGCATTTATGTATAAATGTCAAAAAAAAGAAGTTTGCGCGACATTTTATCAATTTATATTTCATTAAGAGATTTCGGCAGTATGTTTTTTCTATCAATCTTGCGTGTAATAGTTTATCGAAATGAAAATATTATCGACAAATGTTTTAATACAATAAAATATTGCAAAATTGTTTTTGACGAACAATGAGACAAACCTGATAAATATTGGGTCATGCAATGTATACCTATAGTCGAAAATATTGATGTTATGCTATGTCGACGATTTAATTAAAGATTATTTTTCGTATATAAATAACTCTATTTTATCTTTTTCTCTTTTATTTTCTTATCAACAAACACATCTAATACAATATAAATTTGGGACCTCTAAAATATTTTTAGTACGTATACATGGATATTAATAATAACTTTAAAACCGCAAGGTTTAAGGTTTAAGGTACATACTTTACACATTCTGTAGCCAAAAGAAAAGTTATATAATATTAAGTCTTCCAAAATTATTTCACATATTTCTTTTAGCAATATTCTTTAAGCAATTTAAAATTGAGTTTTTCTTAATAAAAGTTTGATTAAATATCTTCTGATATAATATCTTCTCTAACTTTCTACAAGTTATTAGCTACCTTGCAATATTGAAAATTTTGATGTCGTAAAATTAAAATTTGTTAAATTCCAATTCGACTAAAGTTTAAAATTATATGAAGTATAACATTTTTCATTTATTTTACACTTTCAGAAATTAATTTTTGAGAGAATCATTTTAATTATTTATAATGTAAAATTGATAAATTTTACAATTAATGAAAGTAATTAATAAAATGGGACATTTTTTGTAACATTTCTAAAAATGTTGATTTTAAAAATATATTAAAGGATTCGCGAAAATTGAAGAGTAGTGCCTTGAAACAATGGTCTTCGAACCACTTTATAGGGATTTTAATAATTCTCTAATCCAAAGTGATTTCTCAGACAGCAGATTTACGTATAATTGAATTTTAATTTGCCTCTCGAAAGAAAACTATCCTTGCAGGAATAACCGCGGATATTCAGTCGCTAAACGATAATTGAATCGGATTTTCGGAATCTCGCGATTAAGTCAGTTCCATCGTCGATTTAGTGCTTTTTTCACCCATACTTTTCGAAGAAAAGTTATTTTATATTGGAAAGGAGTATATATATATATATATATATATATATATATATCGCAAATTACAGATAAATTACAGATGATAGCAATGGCGTAAGTAGCTGACAAATAAACCAAATGAATTTGATTATTCCAATATTATTTAGCGATATTTATCTGTGTCATTTGTTCAATCTTGACACAAGAGACAAATTATTATAAATTTTAACATGGAGCTTATATGTACCGCAATTGAAGCAGCCCACAGTCGTGGTTTACCGCATCCATCCCTCCTCATCCCATCCCCCTTGATATTGCAAGCCGATGAATTGGCTTCCGGAGTACGAATGATGCCATAGCCACGGATACATCGCACTTCAATTTGCACACACATGACGTAATATTATTTTATCCTCGAATCTGAGAACTAGTTTGCATATGCTTGTGCGCGCGCGAACGCATATATTAATGTTTAAAATAAAGTTACAATAACACTCTCGACACTATCAAATAATATGAATTATTTTGATTATTCAAATGTACATAAAAATTATTGAGACATAAAATGTTAAGAAATAATATATTAATAAATATATATTATTAATCAAACTTATTATATGTCGCGTTGTTAATTAATTAGGTAAATTTTATAATTATATATTTCAATTTTATAATTAATTAAATTTTTTAATTACAAATATACAGCACTTTTCAACGTAACAAAATAATTGTCAAACTATCATCTTCACTTTTGCAGAGTTTGCGATTGATATTTTTCTCTTGTTACGCAGAATGCCTTGCGTGCTGCCATTTATTCGTATGTCAAAATTACAGCAACCGTACATTTTGCGAGACAGCTCTGAGTATCTGTTAAAGCTGTGTGTGACTGTGATGGACATTATACGTAACAATATTATGTATTACGGCGTTATGATAATGAGATGCTTCCCGAATGAAAACATTCCAAATTCCGTGTGACTTGTGTATGAATATGTAATAATTCTCTGACACACGTTGACAATTCTAGAAAAAAAACGAATTTCACTATTGATATTGCGACGTATGGCGTAATTGCATTAAATTATATACAATTGAATTTTTTAGTTTTAATAGATGTCTGGGAAAAAAGAATTAATGGACAATTGCTGCTCTCTCTTTCTCTCTGGTAGTTCCATGGCTGTCCTTAATTAATGAATATCCAATGGCGCTAATGTAATTAACGGCATTTGATTAACGGCACTGCGAACAAATACTATCCAAATAACCTCCACGATCGTTTTCATTTTTCTTGAATTAGCTGTGCAACTGTGCTTACCCTGACAGGTGGTGTAACAAATAGGTAAAAACGCAATCGTACAATCGTATTAAGATTAATGCATTTTTCACGTTTTATAACAACCTTATCTTTTCCGTTTCAACAATTATTCTTATTCCTTTATACAATTTTCTGTGACATTTTTCTGCGACAAATTGCCAATTGATAGCTGCAAAATCTAATAATTCTTTCTTGAACATTGAAACTACATTGAAAATCGATTTAGAAATATTTCAGATATAATCTAAAACATATTCGCGGATATTTTTTCTCCTCTGAAACGCACCTCATGTGGATACATATGTATCATAGCGGACAATTTGTCTTTGAGTTTCATCTTTATATTTCGTTCTATTTGCAGTATATTTGAAATATGTTTTTTCCATGCGCGATTTGCATACAGAGTAGATGCGCGCAAGAAAGGAGAAATAGAGACGTGTCGTTGCTATCAACTGGGTCGCAAGTGACGAGTTTGGCCGCGTTTCGAGGTGAACGGAGTGGCTGTCCTTGGACAAAGTGCTCGTGTGTGTAACCCCTTCGAGGATCCTTTACGTCCATGAACAAAGCGTTTCCATGATCCCATACGAATATCACGTATGGCAATATACGTTTGTCTATCTTATGCATAATTTAACGCATTTCGTATGCGAATTCAAATAAGTGACAAGTAGAGCAAATATCTTTACAAACTTGAAATAAAATATGAGACATATGTTTATATGGTTGCTCTTTTTCATTAAATATCATTATTACATATTATCTTATCATATATTTTTGCGAGTGTAAGTTTTGACAAAGGAACGAGATCAACTAAGACGGAGGATTATGCAAACATGTAATTTAGCGTATCAAAGCTACGTACATACAATTCTCTAACCAGAGTTCGCAGCGCAGGCAAGTCAAATTCGCTCGAGACAATTTTGGAGATTGTAACAGATTAAGCTTTAAGCTTGATCGGCTGACAACTAGAACTTAGTATCCAAATACTATTATTGAACCACAAGCACAGTTGCGATTGTCGTCGTAGTAACATGTATAGCGCGGAAAGTTAGTTGCTAAAATTTTAGTAAATAATAAGTTCAGTAAAATATTAAGATTAATATTTGAACTTCGGAGCTGTTTCCAATGTTAGAAATCAGACTTGATTTTGTGGATAAATTCGTTTTATAAGATAAAATTTAAAAACTGATACATTAATATATAGATGCAACAAAAATTTTAACTGATATTTAGATTTGTTGAAAAAAGTATTAGTTACAACTACTAAGTAAACTGATGTTTAAATTTAGACAACGAATAGGTTTTAGTGATTAATTCTCAATACTCGAAAGCAATTTCGAGTATTATCTGCCATTTTTCACTCCGCGAAAATTGATTACGTGTTCAATGTATAGTCGACGTAAACATCATAAATTTCATAGAGTACTTTTCTTTTAGCCAGTTATTTATATGTATATCAAGAGCATACATATCTTTTTTATTATGAGAAATTTCTACCTATAACTTCAAAAAAAGCAGTGTCAAATTAAAAAAAATTTTATGATTTCTTAATTTAATGTACGTGCGATATATCTTCTGGGAAATATTATTTTTCATAACTATAATATCACATGTATTAAAAATGTAGATAACTATATAAAAAAATAAAATATTTTTAACAATAAAAACAATAAAATATTCGGCAAACATGATGTTTGTAAGTGCATTTATTAATATGCATTTTGTAAAGTAGAACGCGATCATTTATTTGTTTATCAGGTATGCCATCCCGTTATTAAAATCAGAATTTACATTTGAATTTTAATGAAAGCCGATAATTTAAATGTAAATTAAACTGCATATTTTACGCTCTTTCAGTTTGATAGAAACGTTTGCATTTACACATATCGCTACTTATGCAATACACATTTCCTATGTGAAAAATATTGCGCTCATTATAAGACATCTCATGTTTTATGACAATAACGTCTCTGAATAATTAACAAAAATGAGAGATAATTGCACATTATAAAATTATATGCAGCATATTATTTTCTCTAAAAGTATATAATATTTTCTTTGACGTATTCAATGTACAACATATATAGAACATAATTTCTTTTGCATACTTGTGTGTACACAATATGATCGTATAACAATCTAAAAAAAGTGATGCCTGTTTTTTATTGATAACGAAATTCAATATTTATATTTCGATCACGTTCTGCAGGATACAATCAGCAATCAAAATTTGATTGTTTGCTTCCCTTTTCCACAGTTGGAATCATCATTTTATTTATGAGACAGCATCGAAAAATAAACTGTATGACTAACGAACTGTCACGACTCTTTTTACGAATGAAATGTATTTGCATATAACGAGAATATTCTTTATTAGCATGGCAATTACTACAGTAAGAAACTGACGTGACTCAACTACATCAAAGATTAGACTTCTCCGATAAATCTGGCGATTTAACTATTTTCCTACGTGGAAGACAGTGACGTTAATAGTTTAATTTGCATTTTTGCTCGGTTTCAGGCACTCTTACAAGCCCACGATGTTGCCGGCCACGAAGTCTACGGCGAGGAAGCCACCAGAGTAACACCACCGCCTCTTCTCACGTATCTAAATGGTGGCGACGACCTCGAAGGACAAAACGGCGATTTAGACGAGAAAATCACTCGCGTCAGACTGGTGCAGTTTCAGAAGAACACGGATGAGCCGATGGTGAGTGGCACTTCAAAGCACCTGTAATTGCGGAAACGTGTCTTTTCGGTAGTACGAGACGACGTTGAATTTCTACGAGATTTATTTGCGAACTTCCTCTCTCTCCTTTTCTCTTTCCCTCTGACATGATTTTTATATATTTGTTCAAGAAAAGCGCAAATCTTTTTAAATTTTTCTACGAAAATGCAGAAGTAAAATATGCAGACAAATATTAGAGAAACGTTGTAATGAAATATATTAAAAGATTTATGTTAAACATATTACTATTTCATGTCGTTGAGACAAATAAAAGAAAAACATATAACATACAGTAATATCTCATATTTTGAACCTGAATGGTGAACCTGAATATCGTCATTGAAATTTTAATGTTAAATTTACATCATTATTTATTATATACGTGATTTAACGTAGCATTAATAATATTCGAAGCACATTATCGTAAAAAATTTAATATCCGATTATTGCTAGCGTGCTCTGTACTCACCATTTTTAATTTATTTCGCTTTATTCTGTCGCTTTTTAGGGAATCACACTAAAAATGAACGAGGACGGACAATGCTTTGTTGCGCGAATTATGCATGGTGGGATGATCCATAGACAAGCCACTCTTCACGTAGGCGACGAAATCAGAGAAATCAATGGTATACCGGTTCAGAATCAATCCGTTAATGCCTTGCAAAAGATTCTGGTGAGTATCATCATAAAATTATCCTTACAATCAAACAAGTAGAATTTTAAAAATTCAATTTTTTTTCTAAACTGAATTATAAAAATAATTAAATATTCCTTCGATAAAGTACATATTATAATTAATACAAATATTATAATGGTAAACTTTTGAAATAACATCATTTTTATTATTGGAAAATATATAGATTTTTGTATTTGTTCATTATATGAAAAAGAAATCTGAAACTCATTTTAACGCGAATAATTTCTAGAATAATATTTAAAGAGTCGATCTCCTTTGTTACAGCGGGAGGCACGAGGATCTGTAACTTTCAAGATTGTGCCGTCGTACAGGAGCGCGCCGCCCCCCTGCGAGGTACAAGTAAGACCCAACACCCAAACCCATTCCCAAAACACTATCGCGTCTAGTAAGCCCGCATCATCCGCAGCCTCCACGGGCGTAAGCTCTGGAGGTGGCGCGAACAAATCCGGGAAACTGGTGAAAACCTCTGCAGCCACCACGAGCAAAGAGAAGACGTCTAAGACGTCAAAATCTTCCAAGTCTAAGAGCGCTTCCTCGTCTACCGAGAGCACGCCTAGACGTCGCTTAAACCCATTGTCGGCCCTACGATCGCGAAAATCTTAAATTTTCAGTAGCTTGCCCGATTAGATAGCGCATTTCTAGAGAATCTAAAAATACACCAGATTCTAGTCATAATCGTGATGGATCTTTCGCGGAATAAATTTACGCCTCTTCTTCCAACGATACTGCTGACCTTATTGAGAGCGAAGTTGGTTTACGAACTTGAGCCTTATAGTGTAGGTAGCTTGTAGCTCTAATAAAGTAGCTCTAATTATGCATGTAGATAGCAGATAATTAGGCTTTTTCAATACGCTTTATTAGCGAATACATTATAGTTATGTAATAATTTTGGAGATACGCGAATTTTTCTGTAATATTTAAATTATTCGGATGATAAATGTGCAATATTAGAAGTAAAATCTATATATACGTTTAAAGAGCTTCAAATGTGCTTAATTAAAATATTTATTTTTTTATTTATTTATTATTTATTGATTTAGTTTTTAGTGAGAATGATTTTACTTAGAGTGATTTTATTTACACAGGAAAATATTTTCTTTAAAATATTATTTATTTATTTTGATATAAACTAATAAATACGTTATTGAGAAATTATAATTCTTCAAATATATCCATTACAAAATTAAATTTACTTCTCTAGTCATACATCAATATTATGTTTTGCATGTTATTATTAATTATAACCCAGGAACATGCTTCGAAGCGTGATCTATCAATCGCTTAAATAGTTTGTGTTAGTTTCTCCTACGATCTTCTGATCTAACAAGACAGACTTTAGAAGTCCCGAGAGAGCTTACAATAATAAACAACTAATAATTTCCGCTACATTATATATGCAAATTATTGCAAATAATCATACATGAAGGAACTTAAGAACTTAATTTGGTTAGATGATTCAAATTTCACACGACTAGCTTTTGTAATGAAATATTGCTCCATATTTCGCTTCATACAAGTTGAATTCGCATTCTACGTAATGCGAAGTACTTCGAAGTATTACTTCGAAGAACCTACGCAAAATGCGAGAAGTCTCTGCCTATTATCCGTTCCACGATTAGGAAAGTTTTGAGCCCGATAACGAACAGAGGGATATGCGATTAGTTTCTCAATAGTTTGTAGTTTGTATACAGTTTCCTGCGTAATTCTATCCAAGATAAACCGCAGAGTTTACAAGAAGTTTGAAGGAGGAGACAGTTAATAGTGTCCACTTTACATTACATAGCCTAATCCACTAATAGAAAAAAATTTCACACTATGTAATTGCTAATAAAAATAACGTACTTATCGACATATGAAAATGTCTTCGGAATTATTTTATTAGAAAGAAGAATTATCTTATTATTATATTAAATTTATAAATTTTTTCTTTCTTTCTCAAACTTAATCAAAGTTTGTGTGAACTTTATATAAAAATAATATTACGAATAGATGGAATATATTCTCTTGACATATATACTTGACGTATACTCGTAAAACATATTCTCTTGACACGTCTTAATATAATCATCATTCCTAATATTCATAAATGTATATACATATAAGATGAGCCTAAAATAAATTAATAATATTCTTTTATGATTTTAACATCAATTTTTAATAGGTAAATTTATTAGATAAATTAATAGGTGAAAATAAAGAATTTAATTCTTATGTATTATTATTAAAAGTTTGAAATATCTTTGGACATAGTTTCACTACTAATCTTCGTTAACATTGACGAAGGAAAACGGAAACTGGTATCCGGCGGTTATATGCGCCAGCTTATGTGTAATGCTCTCAAATAGTTAGATATATTCGAGGACAAATTGTGCTATAGTTCAACGTTCGGTCGTATTTAAAGTTTCAGTAATTAGCGCACGAGTTCTACTCCGAAGGAGTAAGTTCTTGAAGAATGAAACGTTAAATTCTTAGAGCAAATAAGAACTTTCCTTTCTATGATTTATGATTGTTTACCTATTGAATGAATCAATTACAATTACAGTGACGTTGAGTAAACGTAACGAAATTGATAAATTTTTACCTTACTTCTTTTTCGGATCATAGTCCAGTTATTGAGCGCAGGTGAACTTTATTTAGCTTTTACAATGTCAATAAATTTGTTTTGGCAGAGTAGTTTTTGTTTTTGATTTACAACACAATCGAACGAAATCTGATAAAACTGTTATAAACTGGGCTTGTTTATAGTGGAACCACTTTAAATAACACTTTTTCAAAAATTCGTTTGTCGACTGACAGTTTCGGAAATTTAAAAGTGAACGATTGTTCAATGCTTGATACTTTGATGATTTTCTTGATAATATTTACGTTTAAAATTTATAAAAAGAAAATAAAATTTTTAACAAATTTTTATATCAATGTTGATTTATAAATCGATGAACAATATTTCTTATAAAATTTTACGAAATTTTTGAAATAAAATGCTAAATTTATTTAGGAGAATTTATATATATCTAATAGAAAATTTGTGCAATTTATAATTTATGGCGTAATGATATACTTTTGAGATTATTCATGAGATTATTATTTCTAATGTTCATTCAATCAGCAAATTTTGAACTCAATTGTTTGTACAAAGCTAATAATTACTGCAGTTGTTTAAATGTATGCTTCATCTCATATCGTTTGTTATCACGTTTCACCAATTATTTCAAGCTAAGATTTCAAGCAATAGCACAAAATGTGCGTAATTGGCATAGTGGAAGTAAAATCGGGGTCACACTCAAAGCGTGCTAATTTTGATGTTAAATCAGCGTAATCGCATTATGCCGAATCATTGCACAAATTATCATTTATTCTTTAAGTATTGTACGATATAGTGAAATAATGCGCAAGAGGTTGTTCAATAAATACATATATATATCTTGTGATCAATAACTTGCAGAGGTTTTCACCAGAATTATACACCCGTATTATAAGATACACATATGCATAACAATATATAAAATGATATTCTTAATTAATTCTCTTTACTGTTTTACAAAAGAAGGACTCAGATATAACTAATTCTGCTTGACGTACCGAGAAATACTAACATTATTTATAAAGCTCGCTTGCCATAATCGTTTTTTATAACGGAAAAATATTATTTGCTATATTCTGTTATACATATACATATACATATACATATGTATATCGCCATCTTTCTCAGTACTCAAGCAGTGCTATGCAAGACAAAGATTTCTTTCAGCAAAGCGTCAATAAAATTAAATTGAGGGAACAGTTTTTTTTCCTCGGATCAGGATTTTTTATTACAATAGATACAACTGTTTTTATGTTGTTACAAATTTGAATACGCGCAGTACACGTGAAATAAAGTGCTTTTTCAATCAATCTACGAGATTGATGAGCCACTCGACTCGGAGCGATTTTACGTTTGCAATATTTGCAACGTCCTTGCAATATTTTCATAGCTAACAATTCTGCGTGTCGAGAGTTCGTGCCTCGTGCACGTTGTACATACTTTAACTTCATGAACTTGTCAAAGGTCCGTACAATATGCAGTTTACATGTACAGCTCTTTAAATGGATGTACGAT